GGAGCCAAACAATGGAGCACGCTGTTCCCGAGTAGCTGGACAACCAATCCATCCTCATTTCCAAACTCCACCAGAAAACCGTTACAGTTGCGGTTTTTCGCTTCCGGCAATGGAGGTGCTGTGGATCAAATCTCCGAAACCGTAAAGGCGCACGCGAATTTCGTTTGGCCTGATAATAAGGTTTCGTATGATATGGAATTTTTATAGAGTTTGCTAACTTGTTTGTAATTGTATGTTTATTTTCTGATTCGTGCTTTGCAGAAGCCTAGAGTGTGTATTTTAGGTGGTGGATTCGGTGGTTTATATACTGCTTTAAGGTTGGAATCACTTCAGTGGCCTCAAGATAAAAAGCCACATGTAAGTATTTTAACTTTCAAATTCAATTCACTTAGGACCATCTTCATTGAATCCGATCATATGTTATGATTGCGCGGCAAGGAATGGATTAAGAGTCTGTTTGGATTGACTTATTTAAGTTTATCAACTTACATAAGCACTTGTGAGTTGTAAATATGTCTGAAAGAACTTATGACATGTCTGGAAACTGTTTTCAACTTATATCTATAAGCTCTCCATGATAGGTTATGAAAACAACTTATAGCTTATAAGAATACAATCTAACTTAATTTTATGTTTTATATGGAAATAGTTTATGCATAAACACCTATATGATTAACACTTATGCTATAAGTGCTATATTGAACTGTTTATCCAAACAAGGCCTAACTCACATGATAAGCTGCAATATATTACATTCTTCTCTTGCAGTTGATTGTACAACTATCATTATGATTTATGATCCTTCCTTATAAGTTATATCCATACACTGACTTATTTGTTGATTTTTCTGCACTTTTTGCTTCTGGAGATGTTTTGTATAAAATAAAATTCTTTATATGATATGGAACAGATAGCTCTTGTAGACCAATCTGAACGATTTGTTTTCAAGCCACTGCTGTACGAGCTTCTATCTGGTGGTATGCAGTATTATATTTATTCAACAACTGCAGTTTTCTTTGTTTCATATATGATTAGGTAGAATTGTATTATGGCATGCAGAAGTGGATGAATGGGAAATAGCTCCTCGCTTTTCGGATTTGCTTGCAAACACTGGCGTGCAGTTTCTGAAAGATAGAGTAAAAGTCTTGCAGCCCTCTGATCATTTGGGGGTGAATGGATCCAATGCATCTACTCGTGGAGGAACTGTTCATCTTGAAAGTGGCCTTCATATCGAATATGACTGGTACAATATGCACTATTTAAGACCCTCAGGGTATCCTGGCATCAATTAAGTTTTATATGCTGCTCAAGATAATGCTTTTTTTTCTTCTGGTTCCGTGTTCTTCATATTGACCTAGGTTCGTCAATTGGTAAAATTAGGATATTTGCTGTGACTATGCTCTTAAGTTTATTCTTACAGTAATGATTTATGGGTAAGATCCTCTGCTGTAGTATACAGAAATGTTTATATGGGTATCTAAATTACATGCAAAAGGAAAATGAACCCATCTATGTTTTTTTTTTGTTAGCTGAAGTGCACTGGCCGCATATAGTATATATAAATGCTTAGTTTTTATTGATTTGAACTTTTTCCATTTCTTCGTGCCGGACAGCCAGGTTGGTTCTTGCATTAGGAGCTGAAGCTAAGCTGGAAGTTGTACCGGGAGCATTAGAATTTGCAATTCCTTTCTCAACTCTGGAGGATGCACGTGTAAGTGTGTGACAGGACCGGTCAATGATTTAATACCTCAGAACTAATATACAATCTTTATATTTTAATGGTTTTACATGTTGGTTTCTTGTTGCAGAAAGTTAACAATAGATTAACAATGTTAGAGAGAAAGACCTTCGGTAAGACTAAGGACTACCAAATTAGTGTGGCTATTGTTGGTTGTGGATACTCCGGGGTTGAATTAGCAGCAACAGTAGCAGAGCGATTACAAAATAGAGGAATTGTGAGAGCTATTAATGTTGAAAGAACGATCTGCCCAACTGCCCCACCTGGCAATAGGGAAGCTGCACTCAAAGTAAGTTGTTTAGAGTTTAACTTTAATGCTTACAAGAACTCAAATATCTATTTCGTTCATCCATGAGCAATTCGGTGATGATCCACACAATGTTGCTTTGCACTACTCTATGGCATTTGGCAATGCAGTGAGATATACTGTTCTCTTTAAATTTTTCTTTTATACTATTTCATATTAGTAAAATGTAATCGAGTGAAGTCAGATATATAGAGAACTAGAGCTTCATGTTTAAAGATGTTAAATGAAATACTAATTTAAATTTTCTAGCGACTCTAAAACTAAAAACTAAGTGCTCAAAGTTATGATGTGATTGTTCATTGTTTGGGTTGAAGAAACGTAACCCAATTATGACAGGACAATGCTCCTTGCTTAAGCTTGTTGATCCCTAAGACTTTGTTTGTGAGTTTGGAGGGGAAGAAGGGAGGGGAGGGTTTTGAAAAAATAGAAGGATTGTTGGGTGAAAAGAATTGAGAGATTTGTGGAGAGGGTTTATTTTTATCCATAATACAAAATCCCCCTTATTGTTTTGGAGGACTTCGATAAATTTTTTCTCAAATATAATATATGTTGTTATAATATTCCAAAAATTAAAAATAGGTTAATGATAAACATTCATTTATCATTCTATACAAAATTTCTTTCAAAAAATGTTAAAGATTTTTCTATATTTTCTTCAATTTTTATTTTCCCTTCCCCTCCCTTAACTCCAAACAGAGTTTAGGAAAACACGTCGAGTCCTCTTAGAAAGACTTGATAATTTATTTGAGTTATTACTTTGTAAGTTTCTGTATTTTTTAGAAAAAAATCAAATGGGTCCTTGTACTTTGAACTTTTTATTAGTCTTCATGACTTCATAGTTTTAAATTTTTTTAATATGGTCTTCATGTTTGACTTATTGTTTAGCCCTACGGGGCTATCAAGTCTTATTTAATGTTTTTAAACTATATGATTCCATTCCAAAATTTTGAATTGTAGGACCTAGTTGAATATCCGTAAAAAGTCCCACTGGAATTTAGCCAACTATATCAATTATTCGGAAGAAATCAATTCTGAGCAGTTTGAAATACAAACTTTCTTCTACATAGTTTAAGTAATTCTTATTCTAACAAACACATTTCACATCAATCTGTGAATACCTTAATTCCAAACCAAACAAGCATTAGCCGTAATTGAATGCTACATTGGTGTTCCAAGATGAAATTAAATTATTGAATACTTTTGATATAATCACTTGTAATCCTGGTTTTGTAGTTAACGCATCTCTAGCATGCAACTATACATTTTCTTTAATTATGGTACAGTAGTATTTTCATACCATTAAATTTAAGTCCTTCAGGTTCTATTGCCGGTATTATTGCAAGCAATTTTATGATTTCTGAATGGAAACATTATACTGTGGATGTTAGGTTCTTTCGTCCAGGAAGGTTGAACTTTTATTGGGTTATTTTGTCAACTGTATTCGGAGGGCCAGTGAATTGGAGTCTACAAATACTTCGACAGGGGTGAATGAAAACATTGAAACAGTGCCAGATTTAGAAAAGTATATACTGGAACTGCAACCTGCTGAAAGGGGAGTGCAGCGTAAAATCATTGAAGCAGATTTGGTATTGTGGACTGTTGGATCCAAGCCTCCTCTTCCTCATCTGGAATATTCAGATGTACCCTTTGTAATTCCACTTAATGCCAGGGGACAGGCGGAAACAGATGAAACTCTTCGTGTTAAGGGTCACCCACGGATATTTGCTCTTGGTGACTCTTCGGCATTGAGGGATTCAAATGGAAGGATCCTTCCAGCCACTGCACAGGTGTGATTTTATTGACATTGTATCTAATGGTATTATGAAATGTATATCTTGACAGTACTAACATCTTTGTTTGCCGGTCTGTTTCCTTTACTTTGCAGGTTGCATTTCAACAAGCAGATTTTACTGGTTGGAATCTCTGGGCTGCAATCAATGGGCGTCCGCTTTTGCCATTTAGGTATTTTTGCATTTAGAAGTTCTTTAATTTGCTAATATAAGGGAAAAAGGCAATCTGGTGCTATAAAAGTTTCATTATGGCGGCCTTCATGGAAGTGTTAGACACATAAGTTGTTATATGCTCTGATGAATTTGTTTAATTGTTCCATAATGTACACCTAACACTACATTTATTCTCAATCTGGGTGTTAGGTTTCAGAACCTAGGTGAGATGATAACTTTGGGAAGAAGTGATGCTGCTATTACTCCGAGTTTTATAGAGGGGCTAACTCTAGAAGGTCCTGTTGGCCATACTGGTATGTTGGTCTCACCCGCCATTCTTCATTACACTAGTAACCTATTAAAAACATAAGAATAAGAAGGAAAATAGACTTGAGCTTTTTCTGTTTTTGCAGCTAGGAAGATAGCTTATTTGATGAGGTTACCAACAGATGAACATAGGCTTAAAGTAGGGATCAGCTGGCTTACAAAATCTGCTGTTGAGTCAGTGTCTTTGCTACAAAGTACCTTATCCAATGTCCTTTCAGATTCCTCTGCTCGTTCAGATTGATGTATTATATAGCACGGCTTAGCATTTTTATGTAGAGACTAAGCCATATTGGCATTTAAATGTTATGGCCTTGTTTCTGGTATACAAATGACTGTTCATTGATCTTGTTCCATTTAAGTTTTAGCCCTCATCTATTGTCAACAACTTTCATGATAGATTTTGATAACACTGCACCACTGGACTTTTCTAGGATCAAATATCTGGATGTATATACATGGATCCCTACCATTGTATCTCAACTTAAAAGTTAATGTCTTTTTCTGTTTCATCGTTAATATTATAGTCAATTAAGAACACTTGATTCTTGGTAGTTATAATATTATTTAAGTGATATAATTGTGACATGGTTTTAAAAGTAATTAACCAGTCCATTACACAACTGGTTATAATTTGCCTAATATTGCCTTACAGTTGCAGGGTCGGTGAGGAAGTTAACACGATCACATGGTTATGAAAGTAGAAAGATGCAACATTAATGCAACTCATTTCCTACACGTCTTACAAAGTACTACAAGTTTATTAAATGCAGCCCCCACAAGCACTACGAGACACCGCATCTTCTTTATGGTTTTCCATTACCATCCATGCAAAAATGAATATCTCCCATTCTTATCTCATCCTCCTGATAGTTCCTCCACACTTTTCAATTTCTACTTATTAGATCATTATGGTCATTATTTTCCCAACTGTCATATCATATATTATCTTTCGTGTTCGTTATACATTACATCAATATATGAAGACACTACATGTTAGTAGTTGTACTTGCATGACATGGCAATAAAAAGTTAAGGTTTTACTCCTTAAAATTACTTTCAAAGGGGTCAGTAATCTTGAAATTTAGCGCATACATGCCACTTTATGAGAAGACAAATTGTACATAATAAAAAGACACACACGGATATGCCTAATGCCTAATGGATCTTGTCACGACAAATTGTACATAACAAAAAGACACACATGGATATGCCTAATGGATCTTGTCACGAGCTTGGAATGAAATCTGAACCTGTTACCTAATATGATGATACACTTCCATTCTACTTCACTGGTTTGGTATAACTAATGCAGACAAAGTCGCAGGCTGTGATGATCTTTATAACAAATACATTTTGACTTAGCAAAATTTCTATCATAAAACCTTACCAAAACCATTAGCCCTAATATATACGAATTCAGTGTCTTTTTCTACTGAAATATTAATGTGTCTTCACATTAAAAAAAACTGTCGTTTCTACAATTGGCTATTGATTTTTTGATTTTCCATCACCATCATATTAAATTCAATCAAAAGATAAAGTAAAATCCATTTTTAGATGTCAATTTCATTACTAATTATCCATATGCCCTACAAGTTCAACAAGTTCGATTGCTTCATGTACTCGACTTTAAGAGATGTTTCCGCCACAGCTCCTTAGTAGATGAGAAATGTAATCCCAACGATTTTTTCACTAGTTTAAAGCAAAACATATACAGAGAGCTACGGAAAATCATTAAATGGCAGAAATACATCAATGTAGATCACGAAAAAAGTAGTACTATAGTACTACTTTGATGTAAACAAACAATGATTAAATGTTCTTGTTGAGAAAGGAAGTTAAAAATAATTAATTTTTTTAATATTTCATACTAGAAACTTTGGGTCGCATTTTTGGTAGATAAATAAATGAGAATTAAATTGCCACCCTTATATTGTACATAACATCTTCCACATTTACGAAATGTCCTTGAAATACATCGGAATTTTTGAATTTTCCGATACCGTATCAGAAATTTCATATAAATATTGGAAATTTTGTTAAATTTTTAAGTTTTTACCGTGTCATATGAACGTAATCGGAAATTTGAAATTTCCGGTATCAGATATTTTAAATTTTCGATGTTTTTCATCATTATAAAAAAAATCAGAAATTTGAAATTTCCGGTGTATTTCAGGACCGCAAAGATATAAAACTTCATCTGCAGACATATTGGAATTTTCAAGCATAACTGAAATATCCGGTACACCGAAAATTCGATATTTCCGATAAAGGTTTTCTGTCAGAAATTTACCAAATTTCCAGTACGTGTAATGACTTTTGTAAAATTTACAGAAATTTTAAAATTTCTTAGAATGTACAGAATTTCCGATATGCAACAAAATTCGATATCGGAAATTTACTAAGAGTATCGAAAATTTTGATTTTTATCTCTTTTGATCAATAGTATTTTTTTTTTAATTTATAAAAGTAAAAATATTTAGAGTAAATAGTGAAAGAAGTATTTTAAAAATAACGAAATTAGAGAGAATAGCTATACATGGAGTTGGCAATGTTAATTTCTCTAAATATATATATATTTGAATGTAATATATTCCTCGATAAAAAAAATAGTTCACCTACATGAAAAGTCATTTTTAAGCTCTTTATGTGTTGAAAGATGAGTTCATATTTAATATAAGATATGGAGATACAAATGTTTGATTTCAACCATGTCTCTCAAAACTTTCTTTTTTTAAGAATATGCAAGATATATCTCCTCAACTTATGGGGCTGAGGTCAAGAACCTATGGGTTGATGATAAAAATATCATTGCAAATTTAAATCTTTTGTGGCCCTTGAAGTAACTATTTTAATTCAGAATTAGAACCAACTTTCGTTACTTCTATGGTAGATTTCTGCTTGTGGAGTGAAAATCTTAAGGGTGAATATACTAAAAAAAAAAAAATGGTTTTATTGGTTGTGATATGTGCATCATAATTATGATTCTCATGATCACTGGATTGAATATGGACACTACCTCTTGCAACAAGTGTTTAATCTTTTATTTTATAAGTTTGTCATAACTCTCTTTCAACCAAATCTGTCTTGCAAAATTCAGGTGTTAATGTTTATTCTACATGTCCTTAACGTGTTGAAAATGTCAAAATTATTATCCATTGTTTACTACTTTGTTCGATGTGTCAATTTGGCATGAGTGTGACTTTTCAAATATTTTTTTTGTAAACATCCACCATATTTTTAAAGAATGAAATTCTTGTGTGAATATTTTTACCTATTTAAGTGTTGATCACAAATGATCTTTTGTGATGTTACGTTAACGACAACCTCTTAACACTATTAATAGATATGGTAGATATGTCCTTTATTAGAACCTAATATTTTTGTTTTCTCTTTTCCTCATTTAACAAAAAAAAAAGTAAATACATGAAAGAGTATCAAACACTACAAATTCAACATATTCCATTACTTCATTACAACCAAGTAGATGACAATCGTAATTCCAACTAAATTTATCACTAGTTTAAAACCAAACATGCTAGAACAACTCTTTTTCAATGGACCACTCAAATTTTAATGCACTATAGTAAAAAACCAAATAAAGATATATTGGATTTTTCTATGTATAGATATAAGCAGGAATAAGAATAGCAGGAGGAATATAATGTTGAGTTCTTAGTTCTTTTCATGCAAAATCCTAACTGTTAATGAAAATGACATGTTTTCTAGTAGTTATCGATCCAAATCCAAATCAATATCATCATTATGAAAATTAGGAATACATGTACATCGAGTTCGTCTATTTTGTTCATATTTCCGTTTTTCTGTTCCTCTTCTAAAGATTAAAAAATTCACTAGACTAATGGATTTGTTCAAAACCAAAGGCGTGGTTTACAAGCCTGTGAAAGATGTGAACTTAGGCCCTGATAGCACTGAATTCTATCTCCAAGCCAATGTTAAAGGTTCATAATCTAGTGTTTTTTTTATTAACATATGTATAAATTTCTTGATTTGTGTATGCCATGAAAGTGTTGGTATAGTTTCTTTTATAGAAAGGTTGTTATGCTGTTTTTTTCGCTTTCTTAATTGTAATACTCGACAATCATGATCATGATAGCTCCGCGCATGGCTGGAATTGTTGTCAAGATTTTCACTTGGCTTTTGGAGAGTATATTTGGAGGTTTTCTTTTGTATATATTGAAAGGAAACAATCTTATTCATAAGGTATGCTCTTGTTCTATAGTTGCTTGCTAAATTATGTTTTCGTGAAGTTTTGTTATGATTCAAGAACATCTTGAGCTTTTTTGCAGCATATTACAAATGCAGATTTAGAAGAATCACCACTTTATGTTCCTTTACATCAATTTGAAGGTTTGTTATTTCCAACTAGTTTGTTTTCTTTCAATGATCATAACTCGGATTTCGTTTCGTGTTAATGTGTTTATGATTTTGAGTTTAATCTAGCAGACCAGAAAGAACAAGAAGTCAAATGCTTGGATTCTGCTTTGACTTCACCAGAAAAAGTTCATCTTGCAATAGATTGTTTACCTACAACAACTTTAGAGAAATCAGTTAATGGAACAAAGCCTTCGTTTCATCGGTGGACCATAATGGACTATTTTGGAGCCTACACTTCACAAGATATAACACCAAACATGGTTGCAGAAAGATTTATAGCTTCTGTTGGTGAATCTTCAAAACCTCCACTTCAAATGGGATTCTTTATCAACTACAATGTTGAAGATATACTAAAACAAGCAAATGAGTCAACTCTCCGGTATCATAAAGGTACTTTATCGAAGCGATAGGACTTGTCTTTCAACTCTCTTCTGAGTTCTGATACTAATTTGGTGCATGTTTTCTTGCAGGGGAACCTATCTCGGTGCTTGATGGAGTTCTTGTTGCTATCAAGGATGAAATAGACTGTTTACCATATCCTACGACAGGTAGTGTTAGCTCGTAAATTCTATTCACTTGATTTGAGCATCTTTAAATGGTGTCTGTCGTGTAGGAGGTACAAAGTGGCTGCACAAACAAAGGCCTTGTCTGAATGACGCTTGCTGCGTTAAGCGTTTAAGATTATGCGGCGCCATACTTGTTGGAAAGACTAATATGCATGAACTTGGCGCGGGAACTAGCGGTATAAATCCACATTACGGGTAAGAAACCATGGGTTATATATACTATAGTACTTATATTCACATTTTTGTTACATTTTTCGGTTTCTTGTCTACTAAGCTATATATTAATGATTTGTATTAACAAGAGCTTGGCTTTTTTATTTACACTCCACAGGGCTTCTAGAAATCCTTATGATGTCAATAGGATAGCAGGAGGTTCTTCTAGTGGATCTGCATCGGTGGTATCCGCAGGTTTGTGTCCTATTGCTCTTGGTGTCGACGGGGGAGGTTCTGTAAGGATGCCTGCAGCACTTTGTGGTGTAGTTGGTCTTAAACCGACTTTTGGTCGTATACCTCATGACGGGTGAGTATTCAATTGAAATATACTCGGGGTGGATTGTTATTGTCATGGTGTAACGATTTAGAATAATGATATTTTGTTACATTCAGAGTTCTTCCTCTAAACTGGACAGTTGGAATGGTTGGAATACTCGCAGGCACGGTCGAGGATTCATTGATCGCGTTAGTAATCGTCCTTACCGTGATTACCATGATTTTTTTCCTCGAGTAAGTTTTAACATTGGTTTCACAGCTTCTAATATTCCAATATTTACAGTTATGCAGCAATCAGCGCCGAAATCCCGTCTCATCTGCCCTCTAGTTTACCTGTAAGAACTAAGAACTTGTTCTTTTGAAATTCCAAAATACGATTTTCTTGTGAATTTGTAAACTGATGAAAGTATTTTAAGCAATACCTTAGGCCAAGATAAATCTTCCACTGCTGCCCTTAACAAAGTCCTTATCAGACATCAAGTTGGCAAAGTATGGCAAGGTCAGAAATATCTTTTCATGCTTCAAATATACTTTTTCCTATATTAGAAAAAGTAGGTTGTTCTAACATTTTTATGTCCTTTAACCACTAATTTCATAAATTAGTGGTTTGATGATTGCAGTGATGATGTCAGAATATGCTGTTCTCATGCACTGAGCAAGCTCCACGGTCGTTATGGTTGGAAGGTACCGCGAAATATAGCCCAAAGTTCATAACTAAGTGCTTATATCATAATAGCCTTTATGATATAAAGTGATTACCTACTAACCGGCAAATTTTGTTTTTAAATATACAAGATTGAAGATGTAACTTTACCAGAAATCGAAGAAATGCGCCTAGCACATTATGTAACAATTGCATCAGAGTGTCACGCTTCTCTTGATTCCTTTCGGAATAAGTATGGAAGGGATTTAGCAGAGTTTGGATGGGATGCAAGGGTAGCAGTTAAGATCTATGGTGCTTTCAGCAGCATGGAGTATATTAAAGCTCAGAAGATGAGGTTAATTTAAATTATGACTTGGTTTTCATATTAACTGATATGCAAAAAGACTAGTTCATCGTTACGCGTTTTATGAATACAGGAACCGTCAATTGCAGTTTCACCACCAAATATTTTCCACAGCAGATGTCATTGTGTCGCCAACGACAGCGTTTGTTCCATTTTCTCAAACATAACACATTTTTATTATGTAACATATGCCTAATACATATGACAATATCACAGTGTGACTGCATACCAAATTCAAAATGACGCACTGAAGACTGGTGAACTCGACTATGTCAACGGAGGTATATAGATGAGTTAGCTGTGCATGCTAGTTAAAAAGATGTTGGTATCGTAAAATCTGATTCGTTTGTGGCCATTATTTCAGCTGCACTTATTCGGTATTCCATAGCAGGAAACTTCCTCGGACTCCCTGCTGTTACTGTTCCGGTATAACCGATTATAGTCATGTTTTTACACTCGTACTTGTCACATTACACTACTCAGCTCAATCATGTTTTATGACACAGGTTGGATATGATAAATCGGGTTTACCAATTGGTCTTCAATTTATAGGAAAGCCTTGGGCTGAAGCAACACTAATTCACTTAGCCTTTGCAATGCAGGTAAATAAGTTCCTTGCATTACAAGTTAATAAAATTTAGCAACGTTTCTGTAACGCGATGCTAAAACACGACATGTGTGACCACTAAATTTTGTTATTGAGTGGTGATCCACAATTTTATGAAACTAACATTATGGTGTCGTTATGATCACAGAGTATATGCTTGTCAGAATACAGAAAACCAATTATATTTTATGATCTGCTCAGAAAAAACTAAATGAATTCGTTGTGGGCCCAACAAGCATTGACATGTCTATTCAACCAAAGCCAAAGGAAGATTTATGTTGTCTTGTTTGATTTGGAGATAACTGTTACTATGAAATTTTCAATGTTTCATCTATTGGAGAAGTTAATGTCCCACCACCTATTCAATTTCACTACCAAACATTGCATTTGTATTGGACAATTTGTTTTAAGAATAAATAAAGAAGTGGTTTGGTTGGATTTATATGGAATCACGGAATTAGTTAATGGTGAATCATCGTTCGTGTGATTTACAGTACCTTTTCAAACCATTAATTTGTTAGTTTGAAAATGGACCCTTGTGTCAAAACTCAAATGGTCCATTTCTTTTATACCTAACTGTATTTCATTGTGTGAGTATAATGTTTGAAATTTCTGTCTTATTAGATTACAAAGGAAAAAATTATTAAAGGAGAGTTGTTCATGGCACTCTTATCATTTACTCATCCATTTAATGAAAATTCGAAAATACCCTTTACATTGTTTGAAGTTTAAAATTAAGATGCATCATAAGACTACAAACTTAATTTCAAAGTCACGCCAAATACAAATAAAAAATATGTTTGAATTACATGAGTTTATTCAATAACCAATCTACAATAATATTGAGAAAAATAAATCTCATATATGAATCTCGATTTGTATACAATCTTTATGTCGAACTCTCTGAAATCTTTATTCAAGTCTCGCTTCTTGAATTTTCTAACTTCAACGATCTGCTCAAAGTCTTCGTGTGTGACAATCACCCATGATCCCACCGATTTCTTGAGTGATGAATTGTCTGAAGATTTGAGAAGAACTCTTACTTTGTTCTTAGGATTCCACACAACACTACAAATGTCAACATGGAGAGAATAACCTCATTCTTTTCACTGGAATTTGTCACTACTAGTTACAACAACCACAATCTTACAAGCTTCCTAGAAATCTTTACCAAACCTTCAAGAAATGTTAGTTTCAAAACATATCTCCCCCAACAATTACAAATCTCCATAATCAATATCTAAAATCAAACTAGAGGTTGAAGATGAGAGAAATTATGTTTGTAGGAGATTTTGAGTTTAAAAAAATGAGAGATTGTTGATTTCACACAATCATACTTTTGATTATGAGATTACTATTTGAAAATGAGGTGACAAAAGGTATTATATGTGATGGAGATTATGCACAAAAATAGGTGGAAAAAGTTAGTTAGATTCGAGTCGGGGGCATTTGTTGATTTGAGTCAAATGAGCAAGTAGAGTGGAGCAAGATCAACATAAAGAAAAGTAACACATTTCACGTGATCTGAGTCATGTTGTAGCTATGATTCGAGTCATGCACAAAGGTTGATTCGAATCAAATTGGACAACGTCATAAGTGCAAATTATAACTATTTTTGTATATACTTTTTATTGCACTTATCGACTTTTTGTTGTTAATATCGTTGAATAAATCCGACTTTATGTAAATATATTTAGTTTGTGTTTATTTGTGTTTTTGTATACATAGTGTATCATTTGATGTTTCTCTATTTATTTTATAGGTATTTGTTATATTTTGGAGCATTGAGGAATAAAGTGTCGAAGGCACAGCTCCGGATGCGTGTTTTCGGAATAAAAGACTAGTTTTAGGACATTCTGTTCAGAAGAGCCCGCTTAGCGCGTAGGAGGTCGCTAAGCGCGAGTGCGCTCAGCACATTTTGTAGCGCGTTGCTTGTGTTTGAAAAATTTGGCAGAACCAATGTTTTGAAGCCCACTTAGCGCGGTTTAGGTCAGTTTGATGTGTAAAATAAGGAAGCCACACTTAGCGCGACAGGCCCGCTTAGCGCGGTCTGCTGAGATTTGTTTTATAACTTCATTTCATTCATTTTTTAGGTTATGATTTTGGGGAAGTTTTTACTCCCAACTCCATCAACCTTTAATTTTGTTAGGATTAACTTAAATAACAACTATGGAGATTACATACAGATGATCGGGGTGGATTGCTCTTCGATCGACGCTGACAAACCGATAAATCTGCGATTCATTTTTCTTTTTCTTTGTCACCCTTGGCGTTGTATAAAACGTGCTTTACGAATCTTTGTGGATTATTGTCCTAGGTTTTTGCCCTGTGCTAGGGATTTGAGTTGTTATAAACATATAGTGCTTAGATTCTTATCTAGGATGATTATCTAATAGTGTTTGAATTCTAGAGATAGATTTAGCACTGTTATTCACTTAGGATGTTTGTGATTAATGCCTCTGTGTTGTTTGTGTCACTCTGGGAGATTGTCGATGCAAGCGAGTATGATTGACTTCCGTGTTGTTGAGGTGGTTGAGATATCTCTACCGAGGTGATGCAGTCGGCCTCTTAATTTGGGTTAGAAATGACTTAGGTTATGAGTGACACGTGATGAGATTGATGAATATTGTAGGTTGAGTATATTAGATCGATAGGTTTAAGTCTGTGAGAAGTAGTATATATGCATGCTTGATAAGTTATTCATTTTTCCTTTTTATACATTCATTTTCTATTGATAACATTTTCTTTTTAAACCATTTAACCCCAAACTCATTAAAGAATGATTTTTCGAATTCCAATTTAATAACCAATCTCTGTGGACACGATACAATATAACCTATATCACCCGGTAAATTAATAACTTACTTTTTGCTTGCCGCTATACCGCCGCAACAAAATGGCGTTGCTGTTGCCGGGGATTGGTGTTTATTGTTTTACATTACGATAGTTTCTTTGTTTTTGAGTTTTTTAATTAATGTATATGTTGTATAGAATGTGTACATAAACTTGTCTATATTTACTTGTATATGTTTTGTGTTTACTTTCCATACTTGTGCATATATGTGTTTTTCTTTGTTTTCACGTATTGTTGTGAATTGTCTCGTTTTTGTAACGTTTGTTGTGTGGATGTTAGGACACTTTGTTTAGGTTTACGCAATGTGATAATACCAAGGCATGACGAGAGGAGGTTACTAGCTCATGCAATAAAGGCGTCGAGCTTACGACGTAAAACAAGCATATTTTGTTTGTATTCGTTTATGTATGTGTTGACTTGTGTTTTAACAAGTTGAAATTGAACTTGTTTTAAATTCTCAAATTTTCGTTTTTCAACTTGTTAATTCACTTTCACCTGTTTGTTTCGTTATGTCAATTTGTGTTTTTCGTAAGCTTATCGTGTTTAGCTTGAGGAATTTTGTATGTTGTAAATATTATGTACATTGAGGTTGTGTAGGTGTAAGTGGAACTTGCATAGCAACTGCACCAGCTGCTGTCCTATTTTTCTGCAACTGGTGTAGCGCGCTAAGCACGCTCGGTGCCGCTTAGCATGCTCTGTTGTGCAGAACCAGTGAATTCTTTTTAACTTTTCGCTTGGTTTTTATTTTCCCCACTTCCACCTAAGCTTTAAATAGTAAATAATATTAGTATAATTAATTCTTTTGTTGTTGTTTAGACTCAATTTTGGTTTGATAGCTTGAAGTCGCTTTTGGTGATTTTCCAAGTTTGAGTGTTTCAACTTGAGAATGCGTGGTAATGATTTTGTTAAAGTTTTGTACATGTTCGAGGTATGTGTTTATCGCTTTCTATACTTTAGCATATTCATGATACTTAGATTTTTTACAATTTTTATGCCATTCATTCTTTTGTATACTTGTTCATTTGTGAATCACTTTGGTTCTTACCCTTTTTGTGAGGTAGCTTTCCATTGTTCGCATATGCTGGAGACCACAATTCTTGTTTTAACTGGATTTTATTATGTTTAATCTTTTGTTTGTGTTGATTGTATGAAAGCTTGAACATGATCAAGGCATTTTTTGTTCCATTTTGAGCACAACTACCTTGGCCAAATAGTTAATTCACCTTGTGAGTGTGTGAACTTTTATTAACCCCTTTGAGCTTTTTGTCAATATCCATGTTGTTTTTGCTAAATACTTGTCTATGAGTGTTTGGTTCATCTTTTTGTATGGATATTGATTCTTTGTTTTCTTGAACCTTTAACTATGAGTTTTGGTTTGAATTTTCATCTTGTCTTAGAAATTAAGGAGTATTCATATTATGATGATGGTTGAATTCAAGTTGGGGAGAAAAATGATTGTGTATTTATTGGTTGATTGCTATGAGGTTGAAAAGAAAAAGAAAAGAAAGAAAAAAATGTGAAAAATAAGTGATACAAAAAAAAGTTTTGAAAAACAAAAACAAAAAGAGTATGGAATAATGTTGTGCTAATAAGTGACGTGTGTTGGTTTGAAATTTGGAATGAAGAAGAAGTTTGATTGAAATTATTTTGGTTGAGACTTTGTGAGCTGATCACTCCCTTATGTTTATGCAAGTTTGTGTTTCGATTAGCTGTAGGACTTATCCTTTGTTTGTTCACCCGACCACGCTACAACCTTGAAAAGCCCTTGAGATTCTTGCTTTTATATTTTCAATGTAATTTTTTGGATGAATGCATAATTTAGTCCATTGTTTTCAAGATTGTTGTATGAGTGAAAATACCCCATTTTTGTGTGTTTTCATCTACCGATGATTGATTTTGCTAGGTGTGTTTCATTTGTGAACTAATATTATTTTAGAATGTTTGGCATGTTCTTTGTATTTAGCATTTGTTTCATGTTTATGTTATCGTCGTAGTTTAGTGGTAAGTATGTTTCTTCGTGTGTACTGTTTTTCATTTGAGCCATTGCATTTATTTTTCGTTTTCAAAACTTGTTGATTCATGATATTTTGGTTGATTACTTTTGGTTCTTTGAGTTGTTTGGCCTTGTTTGAGGAAAAACAAGTTCAAGTTGGGGAGAGTTTGATAAGTGCAAATTGTAGCTATTTTTATATATATTTTTTGTTGCACTTATCGACTTTTTGTTGTTAATATTGTTGAATAAACCTGACTTTTGTGTAAATACGTTTAGTTTGTATTTATTTGTATTTTTGTGTACATAGTGTACCGTTTGATATTTTCCATTCATTTTGTAGGTATTTATTGCATTTTAGAGCATTGAGGAATAAAGTGTCGAAGGCACGACTCTGGATGCATATTTTTGGAATAAAAGACCAGTTTTAGGACATTATATCTAGAAGAGCCCACTTAGCACGTAGGAGGCCGCTAAGCGCGAGTGCACTCAGCGCATTTTATAGCGCGCTGCTTGCGTTTAGACAATTTGGAAGAAACAATGTTTTGAAGCCCGCTTAGCGCAGATGGTGCGCTTAGCGTGGTTTAGGTCAGTTTGATATGTAAAATAAGGAAGTTGCGCTTACCGCGCCAGACCCGCTTAG